CCAAAAGATCTACAAGTAAGTATTTGTGTCCAGCGCCTCTTCATAATACGGGCATATAAAGAGCAGTTGGATAATGAGGTGTTCGGCCAGCTTTCAAGTATTTCTCACTGTATAAATAGTTTAAATAAATAGTCTTATGACTTGAAGAAAATAAGGTAAATTGACTTTAGCTCCACAGCCTAAAACCACTTTGACTTTTGTTCATAAACATTACCCATTATTATTACCTTCTTCTATACTAAACAACTATACACCAATAAAATCAATGCTTTTTAATTGTCTATATTTGATCCAAGTATAATGATTCTAGAACCTTCCACAGGATCTATATCCACTAGTATTCCAACCTAAATCAACTATTTTCAGTTTTGTACATTTTATTCAAAAGTAAAGCAAGTTACCTGAATTCATCCAAGGAGAATCGCTCTCTGGATCTCCAAAAGGAGAACCACATGACGTTTTTAGCAATAATAGCAACAAAATTGTTCTCAGGCTTTCATCACACAGCTCATTCTCTTCCAAAACCGTGACTTCAATAAGAAGTCACAGTGCCTTTGATCATCGATTAACCCCTACAATTCAAATTCTTCTTCACTGTAACACAGAGATACAGAGAGGGAGATCGCAATTGAGGATTAGGGTTTGAAATAGAGGAAATTTAGACACCCAAAAGTGCGTGCGAGATCGAAGAAGATTGCCCTCCGGTGAAGAGGAAATTCTCAAAATGGAGCTTTCTCCTTCTCGCCTGAATCCCGATGCTGATTTTTTTTTTATTATTATTTTTTCCCTTTTATTCTTTGGGTACTATTTGGTAAAAAATAGTATCTCGGATTCGTATTTGGAGCTTGTACAAGTTTCGGGTAATGACAACTGTGTGGGACTGGGGTTTACGTGAGTTTCAAAGGAGCTTCCATCTTGTCACGTGAAATTTATAAAAATGTTTCTAAGCTTTATTTTATATATATATATATATATGTATACTAGTACAATTATTCGCGCTTTATGTGGAAATTTAATATCAGGAAATTTATAAAATAATATTTAAGATCTATCGGTCAGTAAAATTAGAAAAAATCTATATAATGGCAAACTAATAAATCAAATTAATTGCTATAACCACCCTTTCATTTAATTGTATCCCGTAGCAAACTGTTTGTCAATCATCTCTCTCCCTCAAACTCTCGCTCGTCACCCTCCTATCTCGTTCTATCTCTCGCTCGTTTCCTCTAACTTTTATACAAACACAAGTGTATAATATTTGTTTCTATTTGTATAAAGTAGAGGAAATTGTATAAACACATATATTTTTATTCCCTTTTCCCAAATCTCGCTCGCCATCCTCGCCTCTCGCTTAGACAAACAGAAGCAAAATATATAAATTGTGTTTCTGTTTGTATAAAGCGAAAGAAAATTGTATATACACATACAGATACATATATTTTCGTCATATACACTTATAACAATAAAAATACTCTTCTGCCCAGTTGCTTTTGCCTTTCTCTTTTGTTCATTTTATACAAATTCAAATTGTATATAATTTCTCTCTTTCTCATTTTATTCAATTCGATTCAATTGTATATTCCCTGCCCAATTCTCTTTTTGTTTTTCTCTCTTTCTCATTTTATGCAAATTCAAATTGTATATAATTGTTCTATACACTTATAATTATACATTTCCTTTTATACACTTTGTTTATACAATTCTCTGCCCAAGTCTCTTTCTCTTTCTCGTTTTATACAATTCGTTTCAATTGTATATGTGTAACGAATTATACATTTATGTTTGCTATTGAGTGCAATTATGCAAACTTTGTTATTAGCATACAAATATGAATTTTATATTTGCTATAGGTGAAAGTTGCCCATAAATTATTATATGTGAAAGTTGCCTATAAATTAACACTATATTAGTTTACATACAAGACTAATAGTAACAAACATTAACAATGTAAAGGAAAAAGAAAATTATTACATCTTATCATTTATCCTTAATAACATGAGAATAAATTTATGACGGTAAAAAAAACTGTCAGGATATGTAACATAAGCAATGGTATCGGTAAGCAACTCACCAAGAGCAAAGTCCACGAATATTTAATTATGCAGAAGAAGAATAAGAAGTTTAGAATTTTCGTTGTTTTAAAATGAGAGGCTCTCTATTTACAGTCAATAAAGGATAGTGTGAACAAATATTTGTTGTGCCTTATCAGAAAGGTCACAATTATTTGGAAAAGTTGCATCCCTTTGGAAAGGTCACAACCTTTCACAAAAGTCTTAACTCTTCATTGAAGTCGCAACTTTTCATAAAAATCACAATTTTTCATTAAAAGTCAAAACTTTTCACGAAAGAGAAGGCTAGTATTGAAAATAAATAAATTAAAAGTGAATCCTGATTTGTGGTGGCGCCACATATAGGCGGGCCTAAGGTTCTCTTTTAAATATATAGTAGTAAAATTACCCTCGCTTCGGACGAACATTTAATATTACAAAATTTATAAAAATAATACTTAAAATCTACTAGTCACTAAAACATTATATATCTTACATACAAAATTACATAGTAACAAACATTAATAATTTAAAGGAAAATGAAAATTATTACATCTTATCATATATCCATAATAATATAAACATAAATTAATGATCGTAAAAATGCATACCAGGATTTGTAACATAAGCAATGGTGTCAGTGAACCACTTACAAATTCTAAAACTAAGATCCTAAACACTAAATGTTAAACCTAAACCCTAAACCATAATTCCTAAACCCTAAACCATAACCTTAAACTCAAAACCCTAAACCCTAAACTCAGAACATTAAACCCTAAATCCTAAACCCTAAACCCTAACCCTAATCCCTAAACCCTAAAACCCATCGTGCCTCATTTCCCCGATTTTTTCTCTCTTTGCAGAAACTCTCTCTAACGGATATTGTACAGTCGCCTACGCGCGCCGCTGTGCAGGCACGTGCGCTGCCGGTGGTAAGTCAAACACCGCCAAACTAAAGCCAACTTGAGCGCCTGGACAAGGGCAACAAATCCCATAGTAGCACGCTCCTCGATCAACCTCAGAACTCTTCGAAATCGCAGTTCAAAAATGCGATTAACACTGTGCAGGAAGAAGAGTTCGACAGAGAACTTGAAAATATTTCGCAAGGAATTTTTGGGTGGAATCAAGAAGAAAAAATGATAGCAATGAAATCGTCGCATCACGATCTACTACATATCCAAAAATCAGCTAATTCCACCTTCTAATCGACCAGAATCGAGAGGCGGAGGTTGAAGGAATAGCGACTGCGTCGCCAGAGTCAAAATCTCAAATTCGATCGACTTCCAGTTAAATTCGAAAAGATTTGACCGCTAGGGTTTTTTTCCCCCAGTGATGAGGTCCATCTCACCCAAATTTCTGTTGAAATGAACGTTGGAATCGACTGCGGGGAAAACTCCAGTGGCGGAAGAGCTCGAATCATCGAAATTCATGGAACCTTGTCGAACGAGTCTGATTCTCAGGCTAAGAACATCCATATAACAACTATCTCCAACCAAATCAAAGGGACAAACAACAATAACAACAATTCAACAACTTTCATTGATCCAAATTCCAGATTACAACAGGAAAAACATGAAAGCGAAGGGGAGACCTCTGTGTCTGTTCAAAAGGACAAGCAAAACACCATTGTTGAGTCTTCCAAGTCAATCGAAGCAACAACAACGGGAAATGAAAACAAAACACAACTAGAGGAGAACTTGATGGTGCAGCAGGGCAATAACAGAAGCAATATGAGGATGCAAATGCAAACAGAAACCTCATCAAATAATACAAACTCATCGAAATTTTCCTTTGGTATAGTTGGTAATTCATCCTCTATAACTCCTTCGTTTAATGCAGGTATTGTGCAAAGCACAGTTCACCAAGATGATCAAGGCGAGGAGAATGGGAATGGACAGCTGCACGGGCAAGCATACACAAGCCAAAAACATGATCAACCATCCAAAGAATTGCAGCATGGAGTAAAAGATCAAAGGAATCCTGGAAGTAGTAAGTAGGGCTCAGAACAGGTGCAAGGTAATATTGGGAAGCAGAATGAACAATCAAAAAACACTAACAACCAAAGAGCAGTCAACTCATCAAATCAGGTAATTGTGGGGTACCACAACAACTTCCCCAAAATATCAAACAACTACTCTAGGTATGAGCCTAACTCTCAACCTGATAGTGTTAATAAGCAGGGTATTAATGTGATTCAGACAACCGCTAGAAATCCTAACTCTCAACAACAAGTTCAGAATGCTAACAACATATACTGTGGTGCAATCCTTTGCTGCAAGGTTGAGATACAATCAGTCTAAGAATGAAATTCCTATTATTTTAAATGATCCTATACATACGACTAGACAAGGATTTCCAACTATTCTTCTTGAAGAGGATGACTATTATGTGAAATTGGTTGCGGTTTGCAAATACACTCTTATGGGGAAGTTTACCAATACGATACCAAAAATGGAATTGGTGAGAAAAAAGCTTTATTTTACAAACTCAACTAACATGAAGTGTAAAGATAACTCACTTCAATGCTAACATGTTTATATCGACCTTGATAATGAGTTTGACTACCAAACAGTTTCGACAAAACTTAGAATGACTATTGAAGGGCAAGTGATGAGAACACAAGCATGGACTCTTGATTTTACGCTGCAAGAGGAAACCCCCATTGTTCCTATTTGGGTGGCTATCCCTGGCCTACCATGGCATTGTTATAATAAATCTCTCTTAACGACTATTTTGGAGTCTATTGGGAAGGTGTTATTTCTAGACTCACCATCTTCCCAAAGAACTAGAAGTAGCACCTTGAGGGTAAAAGTTCAAGTGGATCTTACTAAAACTAGGCCCAACTATGTTTGGCTGGGATTCAAGAACTCTGACCCCAACAAAGGAAGATGGTTAAAGGTGGAATATGAAGGGATTCCAAACTACTGTTTGTACTGAAAACATCAAGGCCACATGGATGAAGAATATACAATCAAAAGAAGGGATGATGAGTTCAAGAAAAGAAAGGAAATGGAGGCTGGAGAAAAGAGTAAGGAGCAGGCTGGAAATAAAAATTCTCAAGAACAGAAAAAAATGACAAATGAGACTGCAGGAAGGACACAAAATCAGCTAAGCAGGGTAGTAAACCAAACTCTGCCAAAGAAACAACTTACAAGCCATCAACAAGAGAAAGACATCTACAGCCAGAATGAACCAGACCAGCAGGTAGAGTTACAGGAAGAGCAGTGGTAGACTCAAAAGAAAAAACAGCACAAAAACCAGGAAACTAATAACTCCAAGTCAGTGTGGAGACCATTTTCACCACAAACACAAAGAAGCAGGAGCAACCAATAGTAGGAACAAGAAACAACAGGTATTACTAATATCCCAACTCAAAATATTTTTTTAACCTTGGAGTGCAGGAACAGCAGGAGACAGAAAATAGAGAGAAAGAACACAACAGTGGATTAACAACACAACAAAACCAACAAAAACAAGAGGCCAATAACAGCTCACATGCAACAAAAAGAAACAACATTAACAATGAACAAAAACAGCAGGCTGCTGCAGATCACAAACACAAGACCTCAGGTATTGACTCAATGTTCCCAAAACCCAGAACCCCCAATATTATTAATGTTAATGCTGGTTATACGGAAGAAGTTTCTGGAGGTATGGACGGGGGGTGTCAGGAGATAGCCACTAACTTGCAGGATGGGGCTACCAAAGGGGGGAATTTGCCTCATGTTATGCATGAGTGGTTGGAATTTGACCCTAGTACACACCATAGATCCTCTAATAGTGCTAAAAATAGACAGCAACAAGGGGAACAACAACAACTTCAACAACAGGTGCAAAATAGAGACACCAGCAAACAGACTGCCAAGGAAAATAAAGAGAAACAACAAGCTAAAAAAATGAATGAAAAAGATCAAGGGAAACAAAGTGATACACTTGCTACTGACAGCACACCTAAGAGTAAGAATAAGCCTAGAAAACAAAAAAGAGATGCTGCAAAAAGGAGGCAGAACAGGCACCAAGACAGGGACAGTGAACAGGAACAGGATGGAAGGGAAGAATCTTGTAACAAATTTATCATGGTTGATGATAACCATGGATTGGATATTCTTCCCTTACAAGCTTAGTACATGACTCCTCCTACAACAGATCCTCCTGATAAGAGACAACAAAAGTGTAAACTTAATACAGTGCCTATTTTAGATAAATATGTTGTGGATAATTCAGAGGATGAAATAGATAGGGATAATCACACCTTAGAAGAGGTTGATGAGGATGATGAGACTAGTGAAGCTCTTATTAAGGCCCTTAGTCCTCATAATGATCCGACTTTATAGGAAGAGATCCAACAGGTAGCACAAAGCCAATGTTTATCTCCAAGGGGTTCCCATCATGAAAAATTTCACTTCAAGAAGCAAGATGCAAATATTGTCACTGCTGGCAGACCCAACACTAGGCTCTTTTCCTCTAGATCTTCCCAATGATTAGTACAATCATATGGAATGTGAGAGGGATCAACACTAAAGGGGTATTGGAGAGACTCAAGATGCTTAGGAAGCTCCAAATTTATTTGTTATTGCCATTTTGGAACCTTTCTCAGATAGTGTTCATGTTCAAAGATTCAAAGTGCAGTTAAACATGGAAAATGCTACTAGTAATTGTAATGGTAAGATTTGGGTTTTCTGGAGCAGTGATATTGACTGTAATATTCTTGATGAAGATGAAAAACAAATCACTTGCAATATGAATCACAATGAATTACAATATCAATTTACTAGTACATTTGTCTATGCTAAATGCAAAGATCAACTCAGAAGACCTCTTTGAGAAAAAATGATTCAGCTTATATACCTTGAATGATAATCCTTGGTGTGCTGTTGGTGATTCAACGTTATAACTTCTGTCGAGGAAAAACTTGGAGGGTTGCCTTATAACATGAGGAAAAGTATAGAGTTTATTGCTGTCATTGAAGCTTGTGGCCTCTTGGACATAGGTTTTAGTGGTCAAAAATTTACTTGGTCCAACAAGAGGGGTATTAATCACAGAATCTGGAAGAGACTTGACAGGGTGATGGTAAATGATTCTTGGTTGGAAAAGATGCCTCAAACCACTATAACTCACTTGTTATCTACTGGATCTGATCACTGTCCCCTTCTTATGGAAATGATTTCCACAACTACTGATCACATCAAGTACTTCAGATTTCTCAACTGTTGGGTAGATAATCCTCAATTCATGGAAACTGTCAAAATTTGTTGGGAGAAGGAAGTTGAAGGTAAATGTGGAGATTTCACCAAAAAATGAAAAGACTATAAAACACTCTTAATAGTTGGTCTAAGAAGGAATTTGGTGATATTTTCCAAAATGTTAGGATGTATGAAGAACAAGTGCACAATGTTGAAGAAAACTACATCACTAACCAAAGTGACTCTAATAGAAGTATCCTCCATGAAATTAATGCTAAGTACATCAAGTTCCACAAGTTGGAAGACACTACTTTGAAACAAAAAACAGAGCTTCAATGGTTTAAGGAGGGTGATACTAACTCTAAGTGCTTTCATTATGTGATAAGGGGAAGAAGAAGGAAGTTATTTATTCATAAAATTGTCAATGAAAAAGGATACTGGATACAATGTGATGACAACATTGCTCAAAGCTTGTGAACACTTCAAGGAAATATTTAGTGGTGAAGAAAAGTGTATCAATGAGCATACTTTGGAATGTATTCCAAGGATGATTAGTCAAGACCAAAATACTCAGCTTACCAATATGCCTAGTATGGATGAACTTAAAGAGGTAGTCTTATGAATTCTAATTCTGCAGCTGGTCCAGATGGTATGAATGGGTATTTCTTTCAAAAGTGTTGGCATATTATCAAGAATGATCTAATGGGGTTGTACAAGCTTTTTTCAGTGGCCAGATGATTCCTAAATACTTCTCCCATTCTTGTATTGTGTTGCTCCCTAAAGTTAATAATCCAAACAAGATGACTGAGTTTAGGCCTATAAGTCTGAGTAACTTTACTAGCAAGATCATATCTAAGCTAGTGAGTAACAGACTTAGTCCTATCCTCCATGCCTTAATCTCTCCTAACCAATACGGATTTGTTAAAGGCAGTATTTCAGAGAATATTATGCTTGCTCAGTAAATCATTCATCATATTAAAAAACCTAATATTGGTAGCAATGTCATCATTAAACTAGACATGGGTAAAGCTTATGACAGGGTGTCATGGTCTTATATCTGTCTGGTTTTAAGGAAAATGTGATTTGCTGAGGTGTTTATTGATATGGTGTGGAGAATCATGGCTAATAATTGGTACTCAATCATAGTAAATGGTAAGAGATATGGTTTCTTTCATTCCACTAGAGGTCTCAAGCAAGGTGATCCCCTTTCTCCGGCCCTATTTATTTTAGGTGCGGAGGTATTATCAAGATCTTTTAATAGACTTCATAATCATCCAGAGTACCATGGTTTTACCATGGAAATGAGGGGGCCATATGTGAACCATTTGAGCTTTGCAAATGATATAATTTTGTTCACCTCTGGTAGATGCAAAACTTTGAAGCTCCTAATGACTACCTTAAAGGAGTATGAAAATACTTCTGGACAACTCATCAATGTAGATAAAAGTCACTTTATGCTACACTCTAATGCTTTCAATAGTATTAGAGATAGAATAAAGAGACTTACAGGTTTTAATCAAAAGCAAGGTCCTATTACTTACCTAGGTTGCCCTTTATTTGTTGGTAGGCTTAGGAATATTTATTTTTCTGGCCTTGTTAATAAAGTTGTGGGCAGGATTACAGGGTGGCAAACCAAACAACTTATCTACGGGGCAAGGCAATACTTACAAAACATGTGTTACAAGCTATTCCTATTCATCTACTTTCTACAGTAACTCCTCCAACTACTATTCTTAAGCAAATTCAAATGCTTATGGCTGATTTTTTCTGGGGGTGGAGTGATAAGAAGAAATACCATTGGGCTTCGTGGAAGAACCTAAGCTTCCCTTATGATGAGGAGGGAGTGGCCATGAGGAACTTAAAAGATATTGCAAGGCATTCCAATTCAAGCAATGGTGGATTTTTAGAACCAAGCAAACATTGTGGGATGAATTCTTGAAGACAAAGTACTGCCAAAGGTCCAATCCAGTCAGCAAAAAATGGGACACTGGAGAGTCTTTAACTTGGAAATACATATTGATGAATAAGCAACAAGTTGAGCAACACATCCAATGGAATATTCAAGCTGGAAACTGTTCCTTTTGGTGGAATAATTGGTTAGGCAATGGACCATTAGCACAAATTCACCACCAACAACAACAGATTAAATAACTCCAAAGCTGCAGATTTTTTGGAGGAAGGGAAGTGGAGCTGGAGCAGACTTTTGGAGCAGGCACCAGCCAGTCAGCTCTCTAACATCCTAGCTACAGAAATTTTCCCCCAACAGCAGCTACCAGACCAAGTAGTGTGGAAACTGAACACTCATGAAGGCTTCACTTGCTCATCAACTTGGGAAGAAATCAGGGAAAAAAGGGCTAAGAATCACTTCAATTCCTTTTTATGGCATAAGAACATTCCATTTAAACCTTCTTTCTTATTATGGAGAACCCTTAGGGGTAAACTCCCTACTAATGACAAACTAACTAACTTTGGCATTGAGCCATCAAATTGTGTTTGTTGTTTAAACAGATCAGGTATGGATTGCATTGAGCACATCTTCAACTCAGGAAACCTTGCAGCCAAAGTCTGGAGCAGTTTTGCAGCCACTGCAGGCATGCTGCCAGACCACTTTTCTCTGTAGGTGCTGCTCCATCAATGGTGGACTGCTAGGCCAAAAAATGCAGCCCACAAATTGCTCATGGAAGCCACTTTAATATTCATATGTTGGAACCTATGGAAGAATAGGTGTGCAGCCAAGTATGGAGGCAAAACAACCAGCATAAGCAGGGTCAAACATGCCATATACAAGGACAACTGCAAGATGCTTAACACTGCCTTTCCTCATGTTAAATGGCCATCAAAATGGACAGATTTAATCCAAATGAGTGAGAGGTGTGTGCATGACACCAAGGTGAATATGGTGACATGGATTAGACCTACGGATCAGTGGCTCAAAGTGAACACTAATGGCAGTGCCATCACTAGTCCAGGCAGGCTGGGGGAAGGTGGTATCTTAAGAGATAAAAATGGCAGGTTGGTGATGGCATTTACAACACCACTTGGAGAGGAAACAAACAACAAGGCTGAAATAGAGGCAACCATCTTTGGACTAACTTGGGCATTAGAACTTGGATATAGAAACATAATATTGGAACTTGATTCCCAGTTGGTTGTGCATTGGATCCTAAAGAAGGCTGCCCCTCAATGGAGCATTATCACACAGTTGGGAAGGCTATGAAACCTCATCTCTCAAACCTAGAACTTCAAGTGCTTACATGTATTCAGGGAAGCTAATTGGGTGGCTGATGCATTATCAAAACACAACCACAAGACAACTACTCCACATGTGTACTTCAACAGCCAGCAAATGCCTAAGGAAGCAAAATCATACTATCACCTTGACTTGTTGCAGATGCCTAGCTTTAGAAGGAAGAAGACCAAAAGGATTAAGGAACCTTCTTGATCATCCTTTTATCTTCTCAACTTAGCTATAATTAAAATTATAGCTGCTTTGAATAGGTTAGATTAGTTTATAGGCTTTCTTGTAAAGAGAGAGTCCCCCTAGTTTATGTTTTCTAGATACTTTGTACTGAGAGGAGTTCCCTCCTTAGGTGCTTAGTATTTTGATTTCATCTTTTGTGTAAGGGGAAAAGTTGACTTCCGTTGGGAAGTTGACTACTAACCATCTTAGGTTGGAGGTAAGGTATAATCCCCCCTCCTTGTATTTTCATTTTTGTTATTAATGATAAGGCCTGGGGTGTTGCTCAGCCCCTACCCCTCCAAGGGTAATTAAAAAAAAACCTAAACCCTAAATGTTGCACCCCTCAAAATGAACTAGGATAAACTAGAGTCTCATATGTGTATTAAGAGTTAATAACTTGTTTATAAGGTGTGACAGAGCTTGTAAGAGTTGTCTTGAAGAGGTTAGAGGTCAAACGCCAAATTACGACCAAGACGTCCGT